TCTTTTCCAAAATTTCTTTAATGGCGTTCGCTGTGTCTTTGTTGGTTGGCACCAACTGGCTAGCTTCAGCTTCCACTGACACTGTGCTTACCTTTTCCACAATGCTTGTGGAAACACTCGTCACAGCTGCTGCTGCTCCCAGACCTAAGCCTGTGGCTGAAAGTCCTAGACTGACTCCTGCTGTCACAGGTGCCAGAGCAATGCCAAGGATTGTCAGGATACCAGACACAGCACTGGTGGAGCTGGCCACCACTTGTGTGATGGTGCAGTCCCTGTGCACCTTGTCAACCTTGTCTGCAAGGTCATGGAGCTTCCTGATGTGCTGCTCAAGCTCCAGTTTCACCTGAGGATAAACATCCAAAAACCATTTGTTCTCCTCAAGCGCTCTTTGGAGATGACATTCATCGTCTACATCACTATTCACTATGGTGTCACCAAGAGCTTCACTCAAGGCATCTTCCTTGTCCCTGTAACAGGAGAGACCCACTTAGTGAGGAACACAGCTTGTGAAGTAAGGTCTGTCCTGTGGAAATCACAGAGCATTTGTTGTGATGAAATGAAGGAGAGTGTTACAGCTGTAGAGGATCTTTCCTTCATTGATGAGCAGGTTTGACCCACCGTTCCATCTTTAATTGTTAAGGGCACAATGTATTAAAAATGATGGTAGGCTGGAGAGATGGCTCAGAGGTTAAGAGAACTGAATGCTCTTCCAGATGGTCCTGAGTTCAATTCCCAGTAACCACATGGTGGCTCACAACCATCTGTAATGAGAATGTGGTGCCTTCTTCTGGCCTGCAGGCTGACATGCAGGCAGAGCACTGCATATATAATAAATAAATAAATCTTTTAAAAAATGATCGTAATGTGTCCTGTTAATTTTTTTTTATTTAATGTGTTTGAATGTTTTGCCTGTAGAGTGTGAGTACGCACGCACGTGTGTGTGTTTGTGTGTGTTTGTGTGTGTGTGTGTGAGTATGTGTGTGTGAGTATGTGTGTGTGAGTATGTGTGTGTGTAGCATGTGCAAGCCTGGTGCCAGTGGAGGGCAGAAGAAGGAATTGGATTCTGGACCCCGAATTACAGACAGTTGTGAGTCACCATGAGGCTGCTGGGAACTGGACCTCAGTCATCTGGAAGAGCTTTCAGTGCTCCTAACCCCTGAGCCATCTCTAGACCCTTAACACACCCTGTGTTGCTAGACATTTAATAAAGATGCCTTCCCCTCAAGGTCAAGGTCATCACTACCAACACCCTTCTCTGTAGGAACTCTAAAACAAACACAGAGGAGTGAGGTTAGAGAAAAACTAACCCTTTATTTTAGGGAAGGTTATTGTTCTCAGAAGAGTTCACTGTTCCCAAAGAAAAGCCTCCTCTTGTCTTCATCTACTGGGAACTGATCTGCCTACCCTGCAGTGTCCTGCTGCTCAAGGATGTCCACGTTAGTTAGGGGACTTGGGATTTGAAGGTCTGCAAATGCACCTCCCTAAGAGAGAAACCCTACATGGGACATTGTTTGAGCTGCATGTCTTTTTGCACTGCAGGTGTGTACACTGAGCTGATGTGGCCTCTCACAGGAAGACCCATCCACTCAAAACAGCACTAAATTCCTTCCTGCTGTGAGCAGAAGATATAGAAACCTGAGTAGATTCCTCATTTACATGTGGGTCCCATCCCCAGGAAATCTCACTGTGCCTCTGCAAGTGTTTCAGTAGCAGGCAAAACTGAGAACTCAAACCACATAGGCTCCCTAGCCCTCCCTGAGTGATTTCTCAGCCTGAGAAAGGTGATGTGTGGTGGGACTTTGCTGTCATTTCTGACCTCCAAAGGAAGTAGACACTAAGGACATGAACTGTAGGAAGGAAGGAGACCCCAGGTCACTCCTGGGGACTGTGTACGTGATCAAAGCCCAATAATCTTCTGAACAGTGAGGTTTACATAGACAAATCATTTTCCTTGAGAAAACGTTATAAAGCTTTTCTAAACTGCTCCTGATGTGGTTTGATCTTGGCTTACCATGTCTTTCCTGTGCATGGTGGGCATTCCCTGCCCAGGCTTGTCAAGAATCCTAAGTTAGGTTGTGAGAACACTCTACCTTTGAAACTTGATACTCGATACTCGTTCAAGTTTCCATGTCTAACTTCCATGTGTGTGTGTTAGGCCTTGACTTCCCTAAGGAGGAATCCCATGCGGTCAGCTTCACAGTGCCCCTAGTCTCTGCTATCTATTGTCCCTAAGTCACTTTGTCTGCTTGAGTCCCCACCTGACTGTATATCCAGAATTGTTCTGTCTCTTTCCCTTAGAGGAACAGTCCTGAGCAGTATCTTTCTACTGTTAACCTGTGTCAGAATAATTACTCGCTCCCTGGGATCTTTCTTGGTGTGCAACACTGCATGTGAACTCACAGACTGCACCGAGTCCTTAAGGCCCTTGGAGTGTACTGTGGATGTGGCTAAGTTGGTAAAATGTTTGCCATGCACACATGTGGAGCAGAGTTCAGTCTTCCAGAGTCCACATTGAAAAGCCAGGTGCTGGCCATGGCCTTCAATCCCTGATTGGGGATGCAGAGTCACGAGAATCCCTTGTGCTCTCTGGACAGCTATTGTAGTCAAATTGATGACTTCCAGGTAGATAAAGGTGATTGTTATTTTTAAAGGTGTTGGAGGGATGGCTCATTCTCTCAGATCATGCACTTCTATCGCAGAAAAAGTGGCTTTGGTTCTCTGCATTCACACTTGGTGCCTCACAGTGGCAGAGAGGGGTTCTGAGGTCCCCTTTTGTCCTTCACCATTAACCCTGTAGATTAGGGATCTCTTTCATGCCCTGGCTTAAGGTCATTACTTTGTTTCCTTAAAGGGTCTATGTTCAAATGCAGCCACCTTGGTTAGTGTTTGTCAACTGAGTTTAGGAACACAACTGAGTCCCTCCCACATTATTGAAGTACCTCACCTGACAGGCGCTCATAAACACATTTAAACAGTTTGCCCTGATGCCATTCTCCTTCCTTCCTTCCTTCCTTCCTTCCTTCTTTCCTTCTTTCTTTCTTTTTCCTTTCTTGTTTTTTCTAGACAGGGTTTGTCTGTGTAGCCCTGGCTGTCCTGGGACTCACTCTGTAGACCAGACTGTCCTGGAACTCACAGAGATCCACCTGCCTTGCCTCTGCCTCCCAAGTGCTGGGATTAAAGGTATGTGCCACCACCACCTGGTACCATTGAAGCTCTTATACACAGTCCCATAACCCTGTTCTTTTTTCCCCCCAACCAAAGAGAAAAAGCTCAATGAGTCTGTGACCGAGTACCTCTCTGTCTTGCCCTGTAGGTCATTTTGGAGTTCATCTTCATATTCTACATCAGGATCAGCAATGATCTTACTAAGAGCTTCATGCAAGAACATTTCCTCTTCTCTGTAACAGGAGAGAAAGATGAAGTGAGGAAGACAGGTTGTAATATATGCTCTCTGAAGTGCAAGAAACACACACAGAGACTAAAAACAAAACCTTTTATAAAAATCAACTTTCTCTGAACACCTACTATGTGCTGGCCTGTGTGCAGTCCATATGCTGAACCCTCCATATGTATCCTCTTATTTTTCTTACAATGAAGTACAATGCTCTCAAATAAATCAGAATGTAAGAAACTAAGTTCTCATGGTCACAGGAAGAGCCATGGCAGAAACAACCTTGTCCACTGTGGTTGTCATCTATCTCTCCTTAATCAGAAGCTGTTCCCTGATACTGAACAGCATCAATGTAGTATTTCCTGAGAAGGGACAGAAGCTGTTCCCTGATACTGAACAGCATCAATGTAGTATTTCCTGAGAAATACCCTGGACCCCAACTACTGGTTTTCCTGGGCAGAATATTCCTGTCCAGAAAAAGACAACACAGCATGGGCTCTGGTGGCATTGCTAGCATCCACTAGGTAGATGACCTGGACAAACCAGTTCCTTCCACAAGCTGTTTCCACAGCTCCTCTTCAGTCAGCAGGAGCTTCAGGTCCTCTGTGCTCCTTGTGTCCAGGAGGTACAAAAACACATTCTCCATGAAGTCTTTTCTCTCTAGATGGGAAGGAAAGGGGATATGGATGGCTAGAGGTGTCACTAGTAGTAGAGGCTGAGTTGTGTCCCTTAACTCATTTGTAAAAGCTCTAACCCCAGGTGACTCTATTTGGGAACAGAGCTGCTAAGGAACCAAGGGAGGTTGAGTGAGGACACCAATACTATGGATATTAGTGTCGTCATAGCAACCAGGAGAAACTCCCTCTCTCCCTTTCCCTCCTTCTCTATCTTCCCTCCTCTCCCCTTTCTCTCTTTCCTTGCCTCTCTTCAACTCTCCAGACACATAAGAGAGGCCACAGGGTACAGGTTCCTCTGCCAACCAGGAAGAGAGGGCTCCCCAGTGACATCCTGCATCACTTTGATTGTGGAAGCTGGGTTCCAGAGCAGTGAGAAGAGGTATTTTCTTTTTAAGCCACCTACCTAGTGTCACTTAGTGATGGCATCTTGAGATGACCAGAGCTGTGTCATTGTGATTTGCAGATACACATGTCCTTTTCAGCTCAGAACAAGTAGAAAGTGAGCCCCTCTTCCCCAGGAAGAGGGAGAGTCCAGTGATGGCTTCCTTTTACTGTGTGCCTGTGGCATAGTCCTTGAATGTGACTTTTCTCCTTGATCTTTATTTTGTGTATGGGAATATTTGCCTGCTTGTATGTATGTCTATGCACCATGTGAGTGTCTGGTGCCCAAGGAGGGCCTTGGATCCCCTGGAGTTGCAGTTACAGACTGCTGTGAGCCTGATGTGGGTGTTGGGAACTGAACCCATGTCCTCTGCAAGAGCAGCAAATTTTTTTAACCTCTGAATCACTCTCTAGCCCCAAAGGTGACTTTTGACACCTGAATGGTTACTTATTAACCCTGAGTTTCAATCCACTGGACTTATAAATATCTTGGAGATCAGTAGCCCTCCATTTGGGTGGTTTGTGAGGGAGCTTCCAGATATTAGTAGATCCTAAGTGATCTGAGCCAATGTTTGGTTCAAAGACTGAGGTGAGGCACCATGGGAAGTGGGGCCTGGCTGGAGTCTTAGGGTGGGTGTGCATCTTGTCTTGGCCCTTTCCTGTTACTGCTTTGTCTGCTTTTTGTGTGCCATGATGTGAACTGTGTACCTGTCTTTCTTACAATTATCATACAATATTTTAAGCAAAACAAATCTATTCTCATTAGTCAAAATATGACCAGAGTAAAAAGAAAATAAAAACAATATAAAAACAATCCCCCAAAACACTTAAAAAGAAACAGCCCAGTGGTGATGGTGCATGCATTTATTTCTAGGTCTTGGAAGGCAGAGACAGGCAGATCTTTGTCAGTTTAAGGGCAGCCTGGTCTACAAAGTGAGTTCTAGGATGCCATGGTGCTTACACAGAGAATCCCTGTCTCAAAAAACAAAAACAAAACAAAACAAAACAAAAGGGTCAAAAACAAAAAGAAACAAACAAAAAATGATCAAAGTGGGTAGTTTAATTTTTTAATATGCTTAATATGCATTTTAAACTATGCCTGCATGTATGTCTGTGTGATGGTGTCAGATCCCCTGGAATTGGAGTTATAGACACTTGCTAGCTTCCGTGTGTGTGCTAGGAACTGAACCCAGATCCTATGGAAGAGCAGCGCAGTCTTCTCAACCATTGAGCCATCTCTCCAGCCCTGTGTATCACTAGTTTTAACAAGTAGCTTTTAGTGAATGATTGAATGAATGAATGCATAGAATGAATAGAAGTCAATAGAAGAATTTTAAAAGGAAATGGAGGCAGCAGAGTGGTGTATGCCTTTAATCCCAGCACTAGGGAGGCTAAGGCAGGTAGATTGCTGTGATTTGAGGCCAGGAGAAGACAGGGGACACAGCGATTGGAAGACTTGTGTAGATATGGCTGGTGTTGGGTGGTTCCTTTGTGTAGAGTGGTTCGTGGGTGTAGGGTGATTCCTGGTGTAGGGTTTTTTCTTGGTATAGGAGGCTTCTTGGTGTTGAAGATTGTTCCTGGGTGTAGGGTGGTTACTGGTTAGGAGCCAACTGAAGGTGGAGGTTTTGCTTCTGTTTTTTTCCCCCCTCCTTTCATCTTCAACTTCATACTTTTAAATGAGAAAAGAAGCCATCAGGCCCCACCCCCCTTCAGGCACAGAAGGTAAACAAGCACTTTCCTGCAGGGCAGGACAGGAGCCTTAAGAACCTGCAATGGGCATTGGATCCATTGGAATTAATGGTGTCCAGGGAAAGGAGGCTACCAACAAGGAGGGCTGGCTATACAGCAGGCACTGGTCTGCCTGTTTGTTATTCTGATCCTCAGAACAACATGGGGACACTCAGCCTGCAGATATAGGTAATTTGAGGTGACAGTTTCCAGGTAACAGAGATGGACTGTGGGGCCAGACTCCCTGAGGTACAGTAGCTTCCTGATGAGGACATTAGGAAATTGGTTTCCTGAGCTGGAGCCTGCTGGGCTCCCTCCTCTGGGCCAGTGCCTCAGGATCAGCTGAGAGCAAACCTCCATGAGGGGGCGGGAGCTGTCTCCCATCTCAACCTTCCTGCCTCCTGTTCTCTCCCTCCCTTCCGCCCTCCCTCCTTCCTTCCCTCCCCCCTCCCTCCCTCCCCCTCTTCCTCCCTTCCTGGCTTCCATTTTTCAGGTTTGGTATTGAGGAGCCTCCTGAGAATTTACCCTATACAAGACCAGGAAGGGGGCCTCTCTGACCCAGGCCTGGGGGTCTCTCTATGGTCGATCCCCCTTGGGGTTCTCCTCTTGTATCTTTGACTCCTCAGCAGGCACTCAGCAGGGAGCCTCTGGCTGTCCTAGGCCATGAGCAACAGCAAAGAACAAGACTGATTACCTGGGGAGCCCATGACAGCTGCTGGTCTTGGTGTCACTCAGGGGATCCTGGCAGGTTTTCTTACAGCTCAGCAGGTGTCCAGGCTGCTGGAGTAAAAAAAACCTGTGGGACAGAATGGGGACAGCTGCTGTGACCTGACCAAGGGTTTTGGTGACCCACAGGTCATTCAACATGACTGGCTGCCAAGGACAGAAAGAACTTGACCCAAAGTATGTATTAAATAGCTCTGTGACTGCTATTTAAAGAAGTCTGTCTTGTGGCTCCAGCCCTGCTACCCTCTCTCCAGCCAAGGCAGAGGACTCCTGTCCTGTTTGGGACAATGGAGAAGGTGTCAGTTTAGGACACTGCTGTGGAGAAACAACAGACCTTGCACACAGAATGAGAGATGGTGAGGAATTTTCTGGTACCAATCTTGGTGTGGGAACTGTGTTTGTATTAATAGTAATGTTTTTCTCTCCCTTCCTTCTTTCCTTCCTTTCTTCTATTTTCTTTTTTCTATCTTCCTTTTCTCTTTCTCTCTCCCAGACTTTCCTTCCCATCCTACCACCTCCTTCCCTTCCTTCCTTTCTGTCTGTCTGGTTATTTTTTTTTTTTTTTGACACTGGGATTCTCCATGGAGCCCTGACTGTCCTGGAACTTAGTCTAAAGTCCAGGCTGTCCTCAAATACAGAGATCTGCCTGTCTTTGCTTCAAGAGTGCTGGGATTAAAGGTATGCACCACTACCACCTGGCTGTAATTTCTTATACTGACTGTCTTATTCCTTATTCTATTGCTGTATGGAGCAGCATGGACAATAAAACTCTTGATAAAGAAAGCTTCCTTCCTCAATAGATCTGTATTAAAGGCATGTCTTCCCATATCAAAGATCAGGAATAGAAGTGGGTCTTCTCACCTCAAATTAAGTCAAATCCCCTCTCAGTGTCTTGCATTTGGGTTTTAATTTGATTTTAGATGTAGTCAATTTGACAATGAAGACTAGCCATTACACCACTCAACCAGAGTCCACTAATTCCAGAGGAGCTCTGCCACCCAGACACAGAAATTGTTAGTAAATAAACACTATTAGAAACTCTTGGGAGAAAGGTTGAAACCCAGCTTTGTTGTGTGCTTGTGTTTAAGTGCACTGTAATGGGATGTTGTTTAAATCAATGAAAAAATTTAAATTGTTTTCACCATCTATATCCCAAGTCCTTAATGGTTCTGGGATCCAGGATGTGGGGCCTGGTCTCTTCCCTCTGAACATCTCTAGAATTAGAAACAAGCTCAGTCTTCCTGGTACCCACTTTCCCATGGGCTCTGTGTCTTGTGTGTGCCAGGCATCTGAATACCAAGGAGAGCGGTGTCCTGCTAGGGATGAGCAGAGCAGTGAACCCTAACTCTGTTTATCAGGTGAAAAAGCAACATTCTGAGAGGGAAAATGCTGTACACAATGTCACACAGCTTATTCTGATTTTGAGAGGAAAATGGGATTTTAATATTTCCAAAATTTCTCAAATATTCTTTGCTCTTGTGGACACATAGGATACCCCTCCCTGGATTCTGTCCTTGGATTTCTCAAATACACAATGACTCTGTTTACAGGGTTGTGCACCATGTTATCTGGATCCCAAGCTGGTACTCTTTCCCACCCAGCACACAGAACACCCTCTGCTCCTGACTACATTCACACACTGAAGAGAGACTGGACAAGGCCAGGGGACACAGGCTGATATCCACTGACAAGGTTCCTTCTAGCATCTGGAACAGGACACTCTTTTTTGGGCCAAGTTTCCACCATGGGTCATGGCACGCACACTCTGAGAGAGTCATGGTGCAATCTCTGTGTTCCTTTGCCTCTCAAGTTCACCTTTGCCACCATTTCTTCATGTGGCAACAATACCCTAGGGCCAACTCCAGGCTGGTCCTCACACAAGGATGGATGGACTCTGGGCTCTCTGCTCTCTCCAACCAGATCATTCATTGCCTCCATTTCCCAGAGGGCATCCTGAAAGCCACCTTCCCTCTGAGGGGCCCTAGTCATATATCAGGAGGTCTGGAACTAAGACAAACCCCTTGGTGATCCCGTATGAGGGGTGTCCTACAGTCCCTTGTGCTGACTTCTGAGGGAGAGGAAAAAAGCAGCCAGATTCCAACCTAGATGCAAGTTCAGCCAAGGGTGATGAACCTGTGATCTAGCCACTGCCTAAATCACATTTACAGAATGGGACAATTGTGCTTTCAAGAGTGGCTGTGGGCATGGACAGATACCTCCCTACTTCTGAAAGAATCTTCTCCTGGCTGAGTTAGATATGACACAGCTATCCTTAGCAGTGTGTCCAGTCCCCAGTTATGCATCTGAGTCACAGCCAGAGGCAAGTGAAGGGCCATTGTGCCCAGCCTGAGTAGGGCAAGCAGGGTCACACCTGCTGAGCAGCTGATGATCCAGTGGACACCCAGACAATCCACTCACTGGGTACCACCCTCATCTTTCCCTCTTGACATACCTGCCATTGAATCAACCACAGACCATTCTCATCTCACAGTGCAGGGTGAATCTTTGTGATCTCAGCCTCTATGTGTCATTCCACAGCTCTGCTGGGCCCTGTCCCTCCTCTGTGTACAGGCCTCTCTCCCTATCACCTCACCTGGCTTCTTGGGGCACAGAATGTGACTCCAAGGTCAGAAATGAATGTGGATGGTGTAAATGAAAGTTTCTAGAAGGAATCCCAACTGAGGTTTCTAAGAGCCCAAATAGCTAATGAGAACTTGAAGACCTGTGGAGAGGGTGGAATGTTGCAGATCAAGAGCTTAATGACAGCTTGTCTGTGATGGTCTTAGTCTCCATATATCCATTCTTTGCCACTTTTGTGTTGGTCTTAACACCTCATGACTAAGAGATAAAAACCATTAGGGATGTATTAGCTTAGAAGACCACTAGCTTCCACCAACTCACAAGCTGAAAACGTCAACAGACGACATCCAAGGCTGGTAACCATCTCTGATGTTTCCACAAATGTCTTGGAAATGTGTTCAGTTATTGCTCTCTTTCATCTGTTATCCTAAAACCTTCATGAAATGGCTTCCATGTTGGAAGATGGACTTTTGTGTAACAGAACTCTGTGTTCCTGGGCAATGGTCCTCACATTTGGCTCTAGAATGAACTGTGTCTTACCCCTTTGAGTGTTTTATTTTTGTGTTGACAATGGCAATGAGCAGCCGCCTCCCAACCCTAAGCCCAGGCTTGGGCCTTGATGTCAGTTCATGGGCTTCTTTGTCCCTGCATCAATTTAGCCACTGTCCCAGGTGGAGGAACAGATTCAGTTCACCTAGGCTGTGGATCTCCTCCCTGTGAGGGAGAACCTAGCTCATCATAGATGGTGAGAGAAAGGACCCGTGGTGTAAACTCTAAGCTCTGTGCTCTAGGCCAATGATATTAGGCTGACTGCTCCCCACCCTCCTCCCCCAAATCTCTTAGGAACATATGTAAGGCATGATCTGTTAAGCTGGGTTGCCACCAAGGCCATTACTGCTTTCCCAACTTAACCCTTTCCAGTCCTCATACTGCCTACAGCTTAAACTGAGTATACAAAAACTGTAAAATAAGGTTAATTTCCTTGAGTTTTTCCTCTACAGGAAAAATTCCTCAGACCTGGGTCTGATCTCTGAAGGCTGGGTGCTCTGTGTGACAACTGAAGATTAAAAGTGCTTATGTCTGACAGCCATAGACCAACTGCTTCTGCACCCCAAGAACCACCCAAACTTCAAACAACTGTCTAAGTAAGTCTCTGCCATTTTAACAACACAAAAACTATTTAAATTATATCTCCTATTGGAAGTTATGCTTCTCAGATCTCTTATGACATTGATGACTAACTGGAGAGTCAACAACAACAAGCACCCAGCTGCCTGTCAGTCCGGTTTACCTTGCTGACAGGCTTCACACAAGGAAATATTGAGAGCTTCTGCATGGCTGAGAAAGCAATCTCAGGTACATAAATCCAAGAAATAATTCAGACAAGTCTGAACCCTGTCACTTCCTCTGGTGCCTCACACAGGCCCTACTTTAATATGAAATTCTTGACCCCGCCAACTTCCTCCTTTCAAAGTTTTCCTTTCCCATCCTTCTCCTCATTCCCTCATGCCCTACTCCCTCACTAGCAAGGGATGTCCTCTCCAAAGTCGACATACATTTCGTCTTCTCCCCTTACAACAGCTCCCAGGACACTCCTGCACCCCCCTCTTCCTTTCCTCAGCCTCGTTTATTCCCCCCACTCTCTAAATCCCCCAACTCTCCTGTCCCTTGCCCACTTCTTGAGTCAACCCCATTGTCTGGGGTAAAACCACCCCTTCTCCCGAAGCACATCATACTCAAAGACCCTCTGCTTACATCTCCAACCCCCAATTCTCCTTGGTAGGGGAGAAAGGGAGGGAGAAGGGAACTGGAATTGTCATGTAATTCAATCTTGTTTCTAATTCAGATAAAAATATGATAAAAAACCCTGACAAACAACACACACACACACACACACACACACACACACACACACACAAAGTCACTCTCCTCTGAAGCCTCAGGTTCCTCACAAGGACCGACCCAGAGTGAGGGTTCAGAGACAGGTTGGGTGAAAAAACTCTGGGTCCTCATATCTCAAACAAAACAAAACAAAAACAAAAACAAAAACCAGCCCTTGTCTTCATTCTGCTTACGTCATATCACTCAGAGCCACCTTTGGGTGTCCAGGCCCCAAGAACAGAGAGTCCTGGTCTCTTGTCCCCCATCTTATTATTTCCTCCATTTCCTATAAGGAGGACCACTGACAACAGACATCCCTTTGAGGTCTCTTGAGCAACTCTCAGGCATCCTGGCACACAGGCTGAGCCCCATAGGTTGTATGGTCTCATTTGAGGAGCCCCTCGCCCTGTCTTATGCTTAGGGTAGATAGAAAGAGGGGAGCAGCTTGACCCCAACCTGCTGCAAGGTCAGCTTCATTGCTGCTGTGTCTGTGACCCGAGGCAGATGCTGACCTTGCTGA